GTATTGTACATGTGGAGCACACTGCAGTAGAGGAAGAAAATAATATTATTAATTGTAATTTATAAGTCAATTATTTATTTGTAATACAAAATAACTTATCATTAACTTAATTCTTTTTAAATAGAAAAGATATGTTTGAACGCAATTTTTGCCATTTTTTCATTTTCACATCGCGGAATTTTCTCATTTTTGCAGAACTAGGCTTTTAGGGCACTTCGCACCCATCTTCTATTTAAATTGTGAACATGTTCTTTTTGTTTACATTTTATAACAAAGAAGAAAAAATTTTGCGAATTTTTAAAAACAAATTTGCGGATTTTCAAGAATTTAAATTTTTTTACAAAATTAAAAACCGTTAAAACACATTTTTTTAAAAATTTTTATCATTCATAAACCTTCCCGTGGTCACGTGATGTCCCACAAAAAATTTGGACCCGATCGGTTCAGCCGTTTTGACGTTTATTGGATACAAACAAACAAACAGACAGACAAGCCAAATTTATATATAGATTTTCTCATTATTAATTCTGCGCAAAAAGCGGAAATTTTCGCGTTTTTTTCTACGTAATGAATGCGCAAAAAATGCGGAATTTTCGGCGCAACAAAAATTTTGCCACGAAATGCGAAATTTTCGCGCATCAATTTTTTTATTCTGCTGGAAACCCGATAGTCAAAATATCCATATTTTAAATTTTAGATGACCAAACGTATGTCGTTTTCTTTTCAAAATCATCAGTCATCAAATTTTGCTACAGTCCTAACCAAAAAAACTCCGAAATAGGAAGACGACTTAATACCAATACGTAAGTGTATTTGATGCTGTTTTAAAGCAAATAATTTTACTAGACACTTTTTAAATTTCAAATCAAGTAAAATGGGTCTGTTTACACTGAACACTGAATAATTTTTGTTTCTCGTGCTCATTGGACTATCTATAGTCAAATTTAAGTTTAAAAGTCGTCTTCCTATTCCAGAGTTTTATGGTTACAACTAAAAGAATTAAACATTTTAAATTTTAAAAACTAACATAATAATGAAAATGTTCCGGGCAATAATTACTAATATGTAACAATATTCAGTTACATTAAGTCTTTAATTTTGATTATTATTTTTAATGGCTTTATTTATTGAAAAATAAGGAAACAATTTTAAAGTTGCAAGAAATCATGAATATTAAGTTAAAGGCCGTATATAAATTCCATACAGTCGTCTCTTACGTCTCCTTTGAGGGTAACCCTGTAGGCACCCATCGTTACAAAAACTTTTGCAAAACTTTTGCAAATAAAGAATAAAGAAGACGACTTTCATTCCATCGCTTTCTGTGCTTTTTATAAAATTTGGTGGTGTATTTTTCGACCTACGCATATCCTCTATATTACACTTCTGACCTACTTGCATGTGGTTTTCCAGCTGCTTTTTAGCTGCTGTAGGTCTGTTAAGCTATAGGTCAGTTGCACCTTAATTCAAAAAACTTTTGTTTGATCCGACCTACTGTAGGTCGGATGTACAATTATTAAGTAGGTCGGATAGTCATCGATTGTAGGTCGGATTTACACTTAAGTAGGTCGGATACATATGCATTTGTAGGTCGGATGGTCATCAATTGTAGGTCGGATTTACACTTTAGTAGGTCGGATATAAATATCCGACCTACAAATAGATATGTACATCTGACCTCGCTCCATGCACATGACTATAAACTCAATCATGCCTGTAGGTCGGATTAAAAAAATAAAATGTGTAACCGACCTACAGCTGTCGTAGGTCGGATATAGCAATAGGTCAGAAAGTTAGTAGGTCGGAAGTTCAGTATAGAGGATGTTGCGTATAGACGATGCAACATTACCATAAAATTTAGATGAGGTTTATAGTGCAGAAGACGATTTGAAGGTCGTGATTAAAGAGACTGTAAAGAAAAAATGAAAGGGGATATATAGGATACAACCTATTACCTAATCTAAGGAGTTGAAGGACACAAAGATAACTATCTGATGTGCCTGTCTCGAGAAATTGATATAAAATTGGGTCGAAATTATACCAAAACTTATTTCAGATTTTGTATAAGAGTTGTAGTATTAAACAGATCATATTGAACAAATACGCAACCAATCTGAAAACAACGATATCCAACAGGAGCCTGAGAATTTTAGATTTACTCCTGTAATAATTTTTCAATTTTATTTTTTAATTTTTAATAGATATAATTAATAGTATTATTGCGTATAGTCCAGATAGTCCGTATTACGTCACCAGAACTTCCGCCAATGGTAGTAAAGTATACTGGTCACGTGATACATACGTAGTCACGTGACAACGATACTGGACTGCCATTGGCGGAAGTTCTGGTGACGTAATATAAGACTATATGGCTATACGCAATATAATACGCGTTAATACCTATATTGCCTTCGTTTTTTTATTTGAATATACCGTAGGCTCAACGGTTTTAAAATTTTGAAATGTGTAATTTTTAGCGCATAATGAATTTACTTTTGAACATCTTGCTTTGAAAATGACTTTGAGCATTAGCTAAATTTATTTCTATAAAGTCTAAAAATAAAAATAAAATTTGACGGAAAATGTTATTAAATATTTCTTCTTTGTTAAAAAATGGAAAATAAAAATGAATGGATTTGACAAACAAAACAAGAGGAAAATTTTCAAATTAAATTGAGTTCGTTCACATTTCATTTCATTTTAGCAACTTTATTAAATTGTTAAAATCAATATAATTTCATTTAAACTTCGAATTTCAAAATGTACTGAAGGGTAGCAGGAAGAGATTAGCCGTTTTTGAAAAAAAAACAGTGCCGTCATCTTTTGTTTTTCATTAAAATTGAGATCGTTAACTAACGTCAACTTTAAAAACAAACAAAACATACCGTTAACGAAACTAACATTAACGGATACCTGTAATTTTCTTTTTTAATGTTTGGAACTACCGTTAACGAAAAGGCTCGACAAATTTGGACTGTGCCCAGCCATTGTTGTTGGCAAGGGGGAAAAGTCATTTTTTCTGGCGGACGCAGTATTATTGAACATAATAGGATTTATCCCAAGACGCTCCTAAAATTACAGATAGCGCAACAGAAATATATTTGCAAAATAAGGTTTACAGAGTTGCGGCCCGATGTCAATACAATTGAACACAAAAAGCCATGAGGAAGACGCCATTTAAAAAATCACATGTATTTAATGCTGCCAAGTTTATACAGGCTTACTCAAAAAGAATGAGACTGTAAAGACGACCGGAAACTCTTGAAATATGACAGTTCCCGGATTAATATATGTATTCTGCCTTAGATATATTAACCTTTAATGGCTTATTCAATAATTTAGCACAAAAAAGTGGCAGGGAATCGTAAATGTAAGGAAACAAACAGTATAACTATTTCTTACAATCGTCTCTTCAGAAGTCTCATCCTTTGTGGTTAACCCTGTATCTTAAAAATCAATTACTCTAAATTGATCAGTTTTGTGCTGCATAATTGCTGTGTTTCATGCGTAAACTAATAACGTGAGTCTTAAAGTCGAATTTTTCTTCAAAAGTTTAATCATAAGTTTTACATTTTTTTCAGGATAGAATACTAAAACATATTCACTTGTTTAACTTCATAGTTCTGAAAAAAATGGGTAAAAATTTATTTTTTATGCATAAGGCGGGTCGACGTTTTTTAAAAAATTAAATATTTTTTATAACTAAGCTACAGGGCTAAAATTTATACATTTGAATAGCCCATGAAAAATGAATTTGTAAAGATGAAGGTATAATTTTTTAATGAGCAGGCCTTGAAAAGATGGATTAGTGACATATATCACACTCTCCTATCTCAACTCTAAGGGACCCCCCCCCTATTTTACAAAAATAGACCAATCAGGAAGGAGTTGACTTAAAAATGTGAATTTCATGTTTGAGATTCTAATCAGAAAAAAATCCAAGAATACGATAGGAATTGAGTCTTTGCCTCAAACTCTGATATTCTATAGCAGATATAACTTTGCAACTCAATATCGTAGACTTTAGATATTTCAATCTATTGAGTTTTAAAATTATAGTTGTTTTTTAAAATCCAAGGTGTGCTCCATCAGGTTTAATTTATTAATTTATACATCATCAAAGAAAAATAAAAAATCTCCCAAATCGAAGAATTGTCTAGAACAAAATTCTTCGTCTTATTTTTCTTCTTCTTCTTCGTAATCCTGATTTTTCAATTTTGCAAACTGTTTTTTTGTTTCCAATGATTAAAGTTTATTTTTTTAAATATACGGAAAACTTGTGTAAACATTTAATTTGTTCAAAGAATCAAGAAAATATTAAATCTGGAGTAATTTTGATTCAATTCAAACTTAATGACAATTTAAAAATTGGAGTAAATCAAGGTTATTAATAAAAAATATATCTGATTCAAAAACATAAGCTGTTTAAATTAGAAGGTTTAACAAGATATTAAAGTCGTCATGTGCATCGATTTTTACTCCGAATTTAAAAGCTGAAATCACAATCACAGTTAAAAGGATTCTTTTAACATTTTATCTATTTTTTGAACAAATATGTACTCTCGGGGCTTATTAAGGCATTTATTGAGGTTTTTCACCCATATTTTCTTCAAAAAATATTATCAAATATTTAAATGTTTTTTTGACAATTGTATAATCATTATTTTTGACACTTTCACACGTGTGTTTTTATTAAATCTCAGATAGCTGCTAATGTTTCATACTGCACAAACTGTACATGTGTACTTTGTTCATACTGCAGCTGCAGATGGGATTTCTAAAAAAGGCATGTGCTTGATCGATAAACAAAACATTAAAAAAACTTAAATTCAATTTTTTATTAAGTAATTAAAAGTGTTACCCGTCGAAAATTTAAAACTGCGATTTGATTAAAGAAAAACAATATTATTTTGAAAACTCTCTGAGAATAATTATTAAATAATTTAAAATATAAGTCACCCAAATGTCTGACATATAATTATATGTTTATGATATAAATATTTTAAATCTAGTTTATTAAGATTTTAACTGACTAGATTCAGTAAACTCGAACTTGTAGGACAGATAAGATATACTGTAAGTACCAACAAACTTAATAAAATTGTTATATTATCACACCTTCCCTTGCTTATAACATGAGCTGTCACAGAAAATATTTAAAGAGACTGGTTAGGTAATGGTAATGAAGACGATTTTTTTATTTAAGTTTTGATTGTTAACAAGCTTTTTTCGAATTACAAACTAATAAGTAATCAAAGAGAAGCTTTTTTAATCGATAAACACTCTTGACTTCTGTGTTTGTGTGTATCCAGCATGTTTAACAGCTTAACTTAAATAAATATTGAATTCGAAAGTCGTCTTCATTGTATTGATATAATCACCTTCCATTGTAGTTGAAGTAAGAGTGCAGTATTATCGAGATTTTTTTAGAATTCGTTTGATAACAATAAAACAATTTACGGTTTATTTATAATTAATAGCTGTAGTGCCCGGCGTTGCCCATGGAAAAAAATGTCGAACTTTGGGAGAAAAAAGTTGAAACCAAATTTTTAAAATATCGAATGAAAAAAAATTGTATTTTCGCCTATATGTCAACCCTGGGGTATCCATGAGTTACTTTAAAAATGTTAGCAAATTTGGTTCAGCAGTGGACCGTTTGGCAGCCATAGCTAACATGAGCAAAGAGCTATATTATGTAGATGAGCCTGAAATTCGCAAAAAATTCTTGCTTTTGAAATCTAAAAAAAGTTCAAATTGATCAGTTTTGATATTAAGGATTTACGATGAAGAGAGCTAGCGTCGTTCTCCTACTAACATACTGGTAAGTGGTAATTAATTATAATTAAAAATTATATTAAAGAAGACATTTCTCGGCAATTATATCAAATCAATAAGATATCTTATAAGTCCAACATTCTAACCTTTATTTTGTATACATGAGTAATATATATAAAATTCTAATAACAATTTAAGACAAAAACTTCAAAATGTTTAAAAACCATTTTTATCTTTATTTAATATGGTTTTTGTTTAGTTGCAGTGCTTTAGCTGTAAACGACTATGTGTCAACTCAGGTCAGAGAAAAAATATCAAAAATCAAAATAAAATTGAATAAAACAAAATAACTATTTATTTACTATTAGCGAGGGGTAAAAACACGGACCGGACTGCCAACTTCATCGGGAATTTACTTTTCCAAGTGTTTTCTCGACTCTTTTAATGAAATTTCATCAAGAGTATAAGCTAGGGATAAAAAATCATCAAAAAGTTGAGAAAACATGAGGAAAAGTCCATTTCCGGTGTAGTGCAGTTCTTCTGAAGGATATTCTTGCTTTAAGTAAATATGTAGTTGTATCCCATTCTTTAAGCAACATTACTAACCGATTAAACTTGTTTTAATCATGTTATTTATAATATTAATATGTGTAAATACTAAATACAGATCGACTATAAAGTTCAATTCCTCCATTATTACTTTAAACGAGAAATGTGTAAGTCACTTTGCAGAGAAATCATGAAATAAATCTAATTATCATACTTGATCAGACAAAACATTGTAAGTCGGGATTGCCATCTTTACATGAAGGATCACTTAAAATTACGCTTACAGTCCCTTTAAGTAGTATTTTAGGGGTTCATAAAGAGAAAGGTGACAGGTTACTATCAGAATATTCTTCTTAACTCTACAACAAAAGGATGCAGATTACAAAATATGTGCTAAGAAATGTAGCGAAGATATTTGCACATTTTCAGTTTTTCTGGAAAATTTGCAAATATTATTGCATACTTGAATTTGCTTGGTCAAGGTCTTTTCAAAAATGTAAATTTGTCATATTTCGCAAAATTTCCTTGCAAAGATTTTGCCATAAGAATTTGGATTTTTTAAAATTTGCATTTTTTTCTTCAGATTATTTAAGTAGAACCCAAGGGCCCTCAAAAAATCTATCAAAAGTGATATATTGTATCAAAGAAGGAAATAAAGGGGGGTGGGGTCGCAATGACTCGCCCCTCTCAGTCTATTAGGAATAAACCAGATGTCAGTTGGGATAGGGTAAAGATGAAATGAAAATTACTGAAAATAATTTCTGATATTTGCATTTGTTTTAAATTCGACTGATTTGAACATACGAACACCACTTTTCTCAAAATCAAATGTTTCGTAAAAATAAAATTTGATTTTATTTCATTAGACTATACAGTGTTCACAGTGTATATATGCTGGATAACTATTAAAGAGAAAAAAATGTAAATGCTTGAGAAACTTAGAATGTGTAATGTTTGATTTGTATAACTTCCTAATTTATTGGTTATAATCGTAAAGCCTAGTGTAAAAAAGGCAAAAGCTAATTTTGCAGTTTTCACAAAAACGGCTAGTTTTCGGAAGGATTTAAGAACTTCAACAAATATCTACAATTGGAAACTTTTCTCCAAAAAAAAAAAGTTCAAGCCAATGATTTGACAAAGATGAAAGATGTATGAAATGAACTCAATTCCCCTCCCCCACCCCACCCAACCCAGAGACCCCACTGCGCCATATGTGGTACATGAAAAAAACGTGATAAGGTATATAACAAAGTTTTTATTTTAGAATAAAAATGTCCAACAAAATATTTGTTTAAAGTTATTAAATAGTTCATTTATTGGATTGCTCAAGAATGCTTAATATTAAAAACTAAAAATAATAATAATAAATGTTTTTTCATGAAAGAATCACGATCTTGTGCTTCTTCGTTTGGAAAATTAATCTTTTTCTTCTTCAGGAATTGAGTCTTTGCCACAAACTCAAATTTTCAAATTTTTATATCTTTGCAACCTGATAGTGGAAACCTTTGACATTTCAACCTTGCAGAATATTTGAACAGTATTCAAAGTTTTAAATATCTAAGCTCTCCTGACTACAACATTGGTTTGCAAAGATAAAGAGATTAGTAAAACATTTTCTTTTTTTCTAAACTGCAATCACGTGTTTAGGTTATTTTTACACGTGCTTAAAGTGAGAACCCAGCTAAAAATGGTAGTTTAGCTAAAAGTGCAGTATTGTTGGGAAAACTTTAGGATTCATTAGATACCATGTGAGACATTTTTACGGTGTACAATTTTTAATTAAGAGCTTACAGTCGTTTGTAACATTTCATCTGTTGTTTCAGTCACCTCAAGAAACCTTTGGTTTACAATTCTTCAATAACAGGGACAAAACGTATTTCTACAAACTATAAGTTGCATGCTCAAACAGGTTGAAAAAAATATTGAATTTATATCAATAAAAATTACTTTTAAAATCTCGTAGATTTATGTAAATTTGATTTCAGCTAGGGTGGCAATTGTTCTTTATTTTAATTGAGAAGACGAAATTTTTTATGAAATCTGCGAATATAATTAAAGAAACAGCAAAGGTTATATATTCATAATGAAACAACCAATTCATACGGTTCCACTATGCCCATCGATAATTTCTCTTAAGAAATATTTTCATAAACTGGAAATTAGTCAATAAAATTGTTTTTTACATGTTTCATTGGTATCAAATGAATCCTAACGTTTTTCTCTACAATACTGCATTATCAGGTCAATTGCCATGTCTAACCGGTCTCTCCCTTTAGTTAACATAAATTTAAACGAATCCCTACATTTAAAAAGTTCTATTTCCGGATCCGAACAATATATCCTTTAATCTTTGTCTGCGAATAAAAGATACTGGGAGTAAATTACGTCGACACTACCACAGACCATTCTATTCAATATTAAAGGGAGTGTTCGCGAAAATAAAAGGGGGAATAGGCTAACGTCGAATCAAATTTAGAGTGATCTCTACAAAGCTTACTTCTATCGTAGCGTCCATACAATATTCAATATTTAATCCAGATCGTAAATAATTCAATTTAATTTCTAACAGAATTCACAGTTTGAAATATTAAATGACTATAACATTAGGTTGCAAAGATATAGGGATTAAAAAGATAGAGTTTGAAGTAAAAACTTATTTCCTTTAATCATTTGTTTAATTAAACTCAAATTTACTCTGATTTGTAACGTACAAACCGTGGAAAACAGGAAATCATGCGTTCTTTCCTTCCCAGTTCATTTTCATAAAATTATAAAATGTCTCAAAGAACTTTGATAATTTGTAAATGATTTCTTTGTAAAAAGGTTCCCTGAACATGTTTTAAGATAAACAGGGTGATTAAAAAAAATGTGATATGTGGCGCCCGGTGCAAAATTGTACCTTTTTGTGCAACTCTCCTTTAATGTGTTTTTTTCTTTATTTTTTGAAAAATTTTTATTTTGTGTTTGTCCAATGGCTCAAAAAATATCGCGAACCTTTTTTTCACTCAAAATCAAAAGTTCAGAAAAACAAAAATGTGTATAGAAATTATATCAAAATCTAAAACTTTAAAAAGATTGAATCACAGAAAATTCGCAAACTTTTAAAAAGAAAATTCGCAATTTTCAGTGCTGGTCTAATTTTTAAAGAAAAGTTATTTAAATTTTCTAGTTCCTTTCTTCGTAGTAAATCCTAAAGTTTTAAATATACGCGGTTCAATTGAAACCTGCAGAGCCATTTAAAAACAACTTTTTCTGAAAAATCAAGTTAGAACTTGTGATTCAATCTTCATAAAATTTTAGATTTCGATTGAAATAATTTTTAAACACATGTTCGATTTTCTGAACTAATTTGATTTGAGAGAAAAAAAAGGTTTGCGGATTTGTTTGTGCCATTGGAATACCAAACAAAATAAAAAATTTCAAAAAAATATTGAAAGAACATCATACAAGAGAGTTACACAAAAAAGGTACAATTTTGCACCTGGCGCCGCTAATTAAACTTTTTTTTTAATCACCCTGTATGTAATGACCAAATTTTCATAATTAAAATTTTACAGATTTCTGAACAACACCATTAAAATCAATAATTATCAACTCTGCTTTAAATCAAAAACCTGAAATGATAAATTGGACACACCTAATAACAGATCTTTGGACACACCTAATAACAGATCTTTGGACACACCTAATAACAGATCTTTGGACACACCTAATAACAGATCGACACACCTAATAACAGATCTTTGGACACACCTAATAACAGATCTTTGGACACACCTAATAACAGATCTTTGGACACACCTAATAACAGATCTTTTCGATGATATTTGCTTTGAAAATCCACAATTTTATTATCTCTCTGTTTCTAGAGTGAGCTGACCCACAGCCTGCTAGAGAGATATGACCGACACATTAAACCAGATCATAAAGTAAATGTATCGGTCAACCTTTATCTCAGATATATCAAGGAGGTTGATAGCGTCTCAGGTCAGATATATCTATTCTTATTCCTTTATAGGAAATGTTTTAATATTATTAATATATACGGCTGAATTGTAAAATTAGATGCAATTCCATGTTAATATTCATTCTTTTATGAAAAGCTGGTTTTTGGTATGCAACAGTTCTTAGAAATCTAATATCTTATATGTATAATGTATATGCAGGACACATGTACGCTCAGACGTTGTTGAATCCCTCAAAAGTTTTAATTTCCTTCGAGTAAATGAAACATGTTTTTCTTGTTTAAGCATTATTCAATTGGATGAGAAAAAAAAGAACGATATGATTCCCTTTAAACATTTTTCACATACATTTCTATTTAGGATCAATGGAGTACCAGTTGACATTTAGGTATCACATTTTAAAATGATTTAATTTTTTTTAATGTAATTATTTTTTGCAACTCTAACTTTTTATTCTTTATTTTTGCATCAGCTGATGATGTAACACTAGGATATTTCAAATATTTAATATTTGACCAGAGTCTAAAACTAAAGAATGCGCGAATTTTAAGTTCGAGGTTAAAAGTTAAAATCAGAGAAAAGGATTTACGGAGAATTATTACATAACTATCGATAATCAGCTGTTTTTTAAATTTTACATTATTTACGTGACGGAAAACAAAACATATTTCCAGTTACAACCGTATTTTGGGTTTACGTGCATACATTAATTAATCTAAACCTGAAATTTATTAAATCAAGGTTTTTATGATAGACAAATAGGGATTGCGGGATTTCAAGATTTTAACCCTGCAGTGTTTAAATTTGAACTCGTAGATTTCGGCGAGTTGAATATTTAACCTCACGGTTAAATATTTAACCTCACGATTAAAGTTCAGGTTTAAATTAAGTCAGAAGTGGCATTTAACCATGAACTTAAAATTTAAGTTAAAACTTTTCGTTCTTTATTTTTGGACTCAGGCTGAATTCGTAGTTTGTATTTCCAAAGGGCTAAAACTTCAAGTTGAAAAGATAAAAGAATAAGAAAATTAAAATTTGCGGCCGGTTCTCTCTGGGCGGAATTTGTAAACAAGAATAGATGCATCAGTGTTCATTTAGCATCAGAGGAGGTTATAAAAGCATTGAATTTTGATAATTTTGATAATTCATATAATAGTTTCCTATGACCAGAATATTTCATTGGCTATTTATGTGAAAGATGGATCCCATGTCAGGATTCGACATCCGTCTTGTGTTTACATTACCGCCCAGTGACAGTACACTGCAGTGCAAAATGCGTACACCTCTGAAATAACTTTCCTTGCATTAAATCCTTGATAATCGCTGCCTTTGAAATGAATGTATTTTAGACAGAAATGGTCGGATAGCAGACTTAGTTTCAATGAGAATCCAGATGCTGTCAACGTGAACTTCCTTACCCTTATTTCAGGTCAACAGTAGAAATCATTTTTTTAAATAAAAGTGGTTTACAAAATAGTTTTTTTTTCTAATATCATTGTTCTTTTATTATTTTTGAGAATTTATCTTGAATAGAAATCAAATCTAATTAAAAGTGAAGAAAAAAATAATTCGGAAAAGAAAATTAGTTTTTTTTTCATTTATTTTTGATTAATTTCCATTTGATTTCATTCAATCTATAACTCACTATAACAAAATAAAAATTGCTTGTCACCAACTTTGACTATGGTTAGCCTCGAGGTATCGAAAAAGATCTGATTACTTACATCTATCTCTAAATGTTTAATCATTATATCTTAGTAAACTGATTTGGTTGAACATCTATGTTTTAAACTATAATTCTGCAAAATTAAATAATCAAAGTTTAAAATGAAAAAGATTCTAAAGTACTGCATACCGACGGTTCAAATTTGAATCACCGATTTAAAAATTAAATATTCTGAAAGGATCATTTTGTTAAAATATTTGAATTAGACAATTAAAGTTAATGTGTTCAGTTTCTTTATTTTTCTGATTATTTCATCTTATTATTATGTTCATTTTGCAATTGAATATCAATATAAAGCATCGTGTCTGTATTTGTTATCAAACTTTTATAGTAAATGAATGAATTATAAATGTCCACAATTGATATTCAGTGTTTCAAATTATGAAGTTTCCCGCTCTGATCAGATAAAACAAATTGACTCGTTATTTTTTGTTTGGGGGAGGGGAGGGCCGGGGAGGGGAGGGCCGGGGAATCAACTTAAAAATAAGAAAAAATATTATCTTATAATTTCTTTTATCAGGAGAAGAGAAACAGATTTGGGTTCCAGATACGTTCTTCAGGTTATTTAAATTCTATAAGGGTAGGGTATTCCTAGGAAATATTCTAGGTAGAGTAGGGTAGGACTAGGAAATATTCTAGGTAGAGTAGGGTAGGACTAGGAAATATTCTAGGTAGGGTAGGGTAGGACTAGGAAATATTCTAGGTAGGGTAGGGTAGGACTAGGAAATATTCTAGGTAGGGTAGGGTAGGACTAGGAAATATTCTAGGTAGGGTAGGGTAGGACTAGGAAATATTCTAGGTAGGGTAGGGTAGGACTAGGAAATATTCTAGGTAGGGTAGGGTAGGACTAGGAAATATTCTAGGTAGGGTAGGGTAGGACTAGGAAATATTCTAGGTAGGGTAGGGTAGGACTAGGAAATATTCTAGGTAGGGTAGGGTAGGACTAGGAAATATTCTAGGTAGGGTAGGGTAGGACTAGGAAATATTCTAGGTAGGGTAGGGTAGGACTAGGAAATATTCTAGGTAGGGTAGGGTAGGACTAGGAAATATTCTAGGTAGGGTAGGGTAGGACTAGGAAATATTCTAGGTAGGGTAGGGTAGGACTAGGAAATATTCTAGGTAGGGTAGGGTAGGACTAGGAAATATTCTAGGTAGGGTAGGGTAGGACTAGGAAATATTCTAGGTAGGGTAGGGTAGGACTAGGAAATATTCTAGGTAGGGTAGGGTAGGACTAGGAAATATTCTAGGTAGGGTAGGGTAGGACTAGGAAATATTCTAGGTAGGGTAGGGTAGGACTAGGAAATATTCTAGGTAGGGTAGGGTAGGACTAGGAAATATTCTAGGTAGGGTAGGGTAGGACTAGGAAATATTCTAGGTAGGGTAGGGTAGGACTAGGAAATATCCTAGGTAGGGTAGGGTAGGACTAGGAAATATCCTAGGTAGGGTAGGGTAGGACTAGGAAATATCCTAGGTAGGGTAGGACTAGGAAATATCCTAGGTAGGGTAGTACTAGGAAATATCCTAGGTAGGTTAGTACTAGGAAATATCCTAGGTAGGGTAGGACTAGGAAATATCCTAGGTAGGGTAGGACTAGGAAATATCCTAGGTAGGGTAGGATTAGGAAATATCCTAGGTTACTAAATTTAGTTTAATGTAAACTAAGATTCTTTAATGGTCCTAACTTCAAATACGTCAAAAGTTGCGCAAACCTCCTCAACTTCCATCCTATCAATTTGAAACAAACAAATATTAAATTATTTTAGACAAGTTTCTGAAAACACTCTTATTTTTTATTGATTTGGTTTTCAAATTGTTCTTTGATCTTTAAAAATCCTTGTAATGATTTTTTCTTTAAAGGAACTCTCAAAACTCTTATTATTCTTTTTTAATAACGAGATTTTATGAAAAGAATTCCAAAAATATCCTTTGAAAAAAACCTTAAAAGAATAAGTCAAGTAAAATAATTGAATATATATTTATATTCAAAAGGTAGTTTATAATCTTATTTTTATTCGGAAAAACTAATTAATAAAATTTCAAATTTAAGTTTAATTAGATATTTCTACTGATTCACCTATAAGAATGATACAAAGAAAATATGTAAGATTGGAATTTCTCTGAAAACTAATTGAACCGACGATATTTTTAGGAATGAACTTGAGGCTAAAATTCACAATACAATGGTGCCTAATGAATACATTAGAGTTTATCCTAACGGGGATGTACTTCAAAGTGTCAGGTTCAAAATTTATATTAATCATCTAAAATCTAATTTTTTTATTTTCATTGAAAGACATGGTTAGCGTAATTTCAAGTGACCGTCAAGAAGAGAGGCGTATCTGATTCACAATAGTACCCAGCTTTAAACTGTAGACCGATCATTGAGGACAGAGATCTCTTTGTATATCTCTATTGAATGATGTGTAAAAAGCTTTAAATTTTAGTGTACACTAGCGTTCAGTGTGAACTCACATTAATCACTTTAAAACTAAGATTTTTCTTAGCAAACACAGTTTTCACAAATATATATCTTGATATTTTGCCACTTCTAAAAAGTAAATACTATTATTCCTTAAATAAAAATCATCTTGTAAATGAAATGTTAAACAATTACAAAAATGCCTTTGAATAAATAAGGAAAAGCCTGTCATTCACTGTCAGTCAAAGTATATTGGAAGGTCCCTTGAAATTACAATTACAGTTTCTGTTATCAGAATAATATTAAACATCACAATTGGAAAATAATGAAGTTTGTGTCTTTAACATGTAGTCAGCCATCTTCATAACCTGTAAAATTAATGGGAAACATCAAGTAATTCGCAAAGCCAAATAAAGCTGGTTTTATACACTTTCTGACACTTTATAAAAATTCACAATCGAAGACGAACTTATAACTATTTCTAAATTCCCATGTTTTTTTGAGACACCTTGTACTCTGTTAATTGTTTGAATATATTGCTGAGAAATTAGCAAAAAAAGTGTATAGCCAGGAAATTCAAACATTGTTTTAATCAAACAGATTTATTCTAAACATAATTGGTTTATATAAAATTGTTTGTTGGTGATGGACCAAACATCATAGAAATAATAAAGTAAATGTTATAGTTCCCCATTTTTAAAAATACATTTCGTTCTAAGTTGACCCACTATATTCAGTTACTCTAATACAGAAACCCTGCAGCACTAAAAAAAATCATGAAATACTAAGAAAATATTTAACTAGGTTAACATTGAAAACTACCTGTGGTTTCAACAGTCCTAAAACTGAATTTATCTGCCCGGTTCAGATTGCCAGCTATGGATGGACTGCTGAGGATGTTGTGTACACCTGGACTGATAAACCAATCATGGTTGCTAAGGTAAAATTTGTCGGGCACTGGAAACTTTGAGTTTTAAAAGTAAATGCCGATCTGAAGGTATATATATGGTATGGAAAATTAGCTATGATAGAAGATATATTGAAACTTGTTAAAGGTTCATTAACGGCTGGCATCGCTAACAATTTCTGAAATAATCAACAAAAAGTCTGAAAATCCTAATCAGGACAATGAAAGGGTTTTACATCACAGTCTCCTAAAATATTGTGTTTCTTGGATGTATCCTAGGTCAATGTTACCTTGTTGCAAATCAAAATATGCACGCTCTCACAAAAAAATTTGAGCAGTTTTTTACCAATTATTTCTTTTAAACTGAAGCTAGAAAAACGCGTTGCATTTTTAAAATGTATATATCTAGGGCTACAAAAAAGTGTAAGTGATTTGATAATGTAAAACCAAAGACCAAGGCTATGCGACACTTAAGTGAAGGCTGTCCAAAAATTCGAGTGCCAAGTTTCAGAGTGATCTAATGTCTATAACTGCTCTTGACGTCTCCTGGTTTCTTGGGTAAATTTTGTATTGTTCTCTTTTAATCCTACTGGAATACCATCTTGTTGAATTCAGTTTGTATTCAGGAACTGAGGATAAATAATTTCAACTTGGATAATTATATTTCTGACTACTGCAACGTTAAGACCAGCACTGGAGAGTACAGCTGTCTCAATGCTGAATTTAGATTCACTCCAGTTGGGTTAATCAATCAACTGTATGCATTGTTAAAATAAAAGTCTAAGCATGAGCAAATTAAACGCGCAACTAATAAATTAGTTGAATTATTGTCCAACCTTAACCTTGTAAAATTTAACAATAAGCAAATTTATTATATATGTCATGCATTTTTTGCAATAAAATTTTCATTAATCTGCAAAAATCATGCAATTTAAGTACACAAATCTAGATATTTAATGCGAAATCAAGTTTTATTTTTAATAGAATGTGTCAAAACTGAAAGTGTCCGAAATGTGAATAAATTTTAATTTTGAAATGTTTTCTTTTTTCTAGTCCATGTAAAAAATATTTTGTCAATTATTACTGATTTTGTTTTATTAATTTTGAGAAGGCAAAATACAAGTTTTAAGTTGAAAAGATTCAAAACTTGGCAGCTGCACAAATGAAGGTATATAGGTATGGAAAATTAGCTATGATATGAAGATATATTTGAAACTTGTTAAAGGTTCATTAACGGCTGGCACCGCTAACAATTTCTGAAATATCCAACAAAAAGTCTGAAAATCCTAATTAGCTATGATATGAAGATATATTTGAAACTTGTTAAAGGTTCATTAACGGCTGGCACCGCTAACAATTTCTGAAAAATCCAACAAAAAGTCTGAAAATCCTAATTAGCTATGATAGAAGATATATTGAAACTTGTTAAAGGTTCATTAACGGCTGGCACCGCTAACAATTTCTGAAATATCCAACAAAAAGTCTGAAAATCCTAATTAGCTATGATAGAAGATATATTGAAACTTGTTAAAGGTTCATTAACGGCTGGCACCGCTAACAATTTCTAAAATAATCAACAAAAAGTCTGAAAATCCTAATCAGGACAATGAAAGGGTTTTACATCACAGTCTCCTAAAATATTGGGTTTCTTGGATGTATCCTAGGTCAATGTTACCTTGCTGCAAATCAAAATATGCACGCTCTCACAAAAAAATTTGAGCAGTTTTTCATCAAATATATCTTTTAAACTTAAGCTAGAAAAAACGCGTTGCATTTTTTTAAATGAATATATCTAGGGCTACAAAAAAGTGTGAAAAAAGGTAAAACCAAAGACCAAGGCTATGTGACACTTAAGTGAAGGCTGTCCAAAAATTTGAGTGCCAAGTTTCAGAGTGATCTAATGTCTATAACTGCTCTTGACGTCTCCTGGTTTCATGGGTAAATTTTGTATTGTTCTCATTTAATCCTACTGGAATACCATCTTGTTGAATTAAGTTTGTATTCAGGAACTGAGGATAAAGGATTTCTCCTTGGATAAGTATATGACTGACTACTGCAACGTTAAGACCAGCACTGGAGAGTACAGCTGTCTCAATGCTGAGTTTAGATTCACTCCAGTTGGGTTTGGAGGAGTATGCAACAATTAATCAATCAACTGTATGCATTGTTAAAATAAAAGTCTAAGCAAGCATGAGCAAATTAAACGCGCAACTAATAAATTAGTTGAATTATTGTCCAATTTTAACCTTGTAAAATTTAACAATAAGCAAATTTATTATACATGTCATGCATTTTTTACACATTCATTAATTTGCAAATCTAGATATTTAATGCGAAATCAAGTTTTATTTTTTATAGAACGTTTAAAAACTAAAAGTGTCCGTAATGTGAATAAATTTTAATTTTGAAATGTTTTCTTCTTCTAGTCCCATGTAAAAAATATTTGGTCGCTTTTTACTGATTTTGTTTTATTCATTTTGAGAAGGCAAAATACAGGTTTTAAGTTAATTAGATCCAAAACTTGGCAGCTGCGCAAATGAGGGTATATATATGTAGCATGTAAGAAAATTTTAATTTTTAGGCAAAGTCGGGTTTCAAAGCTAGTTAAACAATAAGATATCTTACAGTTCCACAAATTAATATTGTTATGTTTATTGTAAGATATTGAGAATAGAACTGAATTAAATTAATATTGTTATGTTTATTGTAAGATATTGAGAAAAAAACTGAATTTGCCACAAACTCAAATCTTCCAATCCCAATATTATTATATATGTATAATATCTCAAGATGGCAACAAACCGTTGATATTTAAAACTGCGACTATTAAATCAAGTCTACTATTACGAGTTTCAAAGATAAGAAGAATAGAAATCAGAGTTTGTGGCAAAAGCTCAGTTCCTTTGTGTATAGAATACAGATGATCATGAAACAAAATTTGAGATGATTTTAGAAAAAACAAACTAACAAAATAGTTAAAAATCTCAAAAATCGAAGTGGAAACTATAACAGTTTTTTCTGAAAGGGAGTGACCGGCTATGTAAGGTAGTTGAACTGAATATGCAGTGTTGTGGAAAACTTCTTTCGGATTCATTTGAGACATATTAAACTTTTAAAAGATCTGTAAATCCTGAGTTTGAGCGCAAATTCGATGTTCAAAACTCCTGCTTTGGGGGTGGATACGTTTTCAGAATTAGTTTTTTTAAATTATTAAATAACGACGACATAAAATGTAAAAATGTTCTATAATAAACTACAGACGTCATGTAAAGGAACATGTTGAGAAAATAAAAATTAATCTTATCATCGAAAATAAGTTATCTTGTTCAAATTAGTTTCTATTTTCTATTTATTCTGGTTCCTTATTATTCACAAAGATTTTCGCAGATTTTCTAGAATTCTTATTGAAAAGACGACATTTGAAGAATTTGAAGAAATCTGCGAATAAATTCAAAGTAAATAATTAATTCAATATAATAATGAAAACGAAATAATCGATTTTAGCATTGATTTATTGACAAATTTCTATTGAGAAATATGTTCCTAACAATCTAATTAGATTACTGTATAATTTTTACTTTATTTTTCGTAGTTGTTATTTAATAATAAATAAAAAACTAATTCTGAAAGCGTATCCATCCCCAAAGTAGGAGTTTTGAACGTCACATATGCGCTCAAGCTCAGGATTTACAGATCTTTAAAAAGTTTAATGTGTCTCAAATGAACCCGAAAGAAGTTTTCCACAACAATGCATACTCAGTTAAACTACCTTACATAGCCGGTCACTCCCTTTAAGTCTTGATTTAATGTGAAGTGTTTGCTAACGGCCCGCTTATAGATTTGATTCTATCCATCGATCTAAACTATTCTGGGCTAGCGTACATGTAATTTTGTGGGTGTGCATCACAGTTGTTAGATTTGAATGGACCCTAGATTTTTTGGGAAATATTTTAAATCTCTGCATAGTGTACTTAAAGTTCTACTCTAACAAATTTTTATTCTGGCTGACGTTAATTCTATAAAAATAATTTGTTCTTTTTCAAAAAGTTTGAATGAAAGTTCAGGTTCTGCAAATCAAAGAAGAGCTTTGGTAATGAATGAGATACTGTCGCTAAAATCTTGTAAAAACAACATTGCCTCCCAAAAGTTTACTACTTTAGTTTACTACTTTAGTTTACTACTTTAGTTTACTACTTTAGTTTACTACTTTAGTTTACTACTTTAGTTTACTACTTTAGTTTACTACTTTAGTTCACTACTTTAGTTTGCTATTTTAATATACTATCTTCAGTTTACTACTTTAATTTACAATTTACTATCTTTTGTTTACTTCACTGAATATGGTGTGAAAATGCAAATTTGATAGATTCACTTCTCTGACCAGAGAGATTAAACACAAATATTCAGAACTGAATAATAACAGGTTTAAAAATGATAAAATAACATGACAAAATTAATGTTTACACATAAGTAGCTAGCACTATGTTTCAGATATCAAGTACGGAGGGACCCACAAAGAATCAGATTTAAAGACGACATAAAACTCATTTAATCTGACGAATCCAAGGTTAAACTAAGTTTTCTACATTGAAAACAATCTTTTAATGACGTATTCACTGATTAGGCAAAGAAAGAAAGAAGTTTACGGTTACAGAGAATAATAAACACAAGGTTCAGATAGTTTAAATTCTTAACAGTCATCTATGAAGTCTCATCCATTGTTGGTATCCCTATATCTTTGCAACCAAATGTTGTAAATCTAGGATATTTCCTAGTATTCTGCTAGGTCAATTAATCTAATTTTGAAATTTCAAATTGCAAAGATATTGGGATTAGAAAATTTAAGAATCAATTCCCTTTAGCCACACATATACCAATACTTATGACAAATAAGAATTAAAGACTGTCTTTGACTTACAAGCTAAGAAGATTCCCGTGGGTCTCCCGAATGCTCAAATTAATATTTGAGGCAAATCGGTCCATGGGTTCCTAAGATAAAATCAGACAAACAAACAAACAAACAGACCAAAATAGATAAACAACTTTATATAGATATATAAAGTATAAATTGTTCCTTTAGAGAAGAATTACCTGTGGATTTAATCTACAGAAAGAAATGAAAGAGAATATCAGAATTAAACACTTTTCATGATTGAATAACGAAATATTCTCCTTTAAAATGTTAGAAATACCACTTTAAAAAAGATTAAATAACCTGATAATCCCTTTAAACCAATATTATGATAATCCCCCTTTACTTAAAAAAAACTCTGATTTAGTTGAAGTTGAATCAGCTTAAAATACAAAATGTAACTTTTATAAGTTTGAAACAATTTAAATTCAACTAAACATTTTTTATATTATTTTATGTTTGTAAAGAATTGAAGTATTTCCTTGCAAAAACAAAATGTCCGAAAATTCTGAAAATTATCCAAAATATTGTATTTATATATATATATATATATACAAGGCTTCGCGCCCTTCTTGTATTTCAAATTTTAATTGATGCTTAATCTTAATCCTCTTCGATAAAACCATGAAATCGAACTTCGCGGATATCCAACTTTTTCGCGGATTTTCAAGATTTCACGAATATCAATAATTTTTCAAATTTTTAAAACTCTGAGCATTCATAAACCTTCCCTGTGGCCATTTGAGGTCCCACAAAAATTGGACTGAATTAGTTTAGCATTTTTGAAGTTTATTGGATACAAACACCCACTCAAACACACACCAAAACAAACAAAGCACTTAAACAGACAAGGAAAGTATTTATATATAGATAAATAACTTTAAGACCTCTGTGTAATGTCGTCTTTAACTGAAATCCCCTCTCGGAGACACCAAACCAAATAAGTTCAGCCCCCCATTTCTTTGTTCTCCGGGGACGGAGCCTAAAACACTTTCGTTTATTGTGAACCC